CGTAAGTGTACCCGTCACGATCAGACCGCAGGTGTTCTGTTGTGTTGGACACAACTTCGACGCGACGCTTCGACGTCTACCAGTTTGTAAACACCGTTCTCTCCATCCCATAAAATCAGCGTTCCGTTCTTTTTTGTAAAAGGCAGAGATGGTAAAGCTGAAGCCCAACCGTGTTCGGAGAGTACCAAACCGCGGCGATAGCGGGAAAAAGAAGACAAGAAGGATGATGGTGAGAGTTCTCGGAGGGGTGTGGGACGTTCGTTGTCAGTCGACCTTGCAGAGTTGAGCCTCTACCTCGCTGGGCGTTTAAATAGGTTAAATTTGCTATCGGAAGCGTCACGGTATCTTCCAAGCGCGATTGTCGTGGAAGTCGGACGCGAGAACGCTGCCACAGACGCAGTCAAGACGCAGCCGAAGCTGAGAGCGGCAATTTAAGCTTGGCCAATGACTAGCACCCGAGGGAAAATCGAATAGGATGAGACGGAGGCAAGACAAGGGGTGGCCCGTGCGAATTCACAGGATTCCATCATTCCTAAACCAAGCAGTGTCAGAATCAGGTTATCCACAAGTTGTCCTACCATAGTACATCGCGACCAGGGTCCAGGGTGTAAGGATAACACAGCTCTCCTCCGGCTTACGGTCTACAGATATGCAAACTACACACCCATATACCAGTCGTGAATATATCATACATAAATGCAGCCGCAAATCGCGTACTTTTCTGTAGATCGTTCCGTTCCATCCATTATTCCGACCGTCCCGTCCGCCACACTACCGCACCCGCGAACAAGCATCCGTCCCAGCAGCCGCACATTAGACAGTTGGACTCAACCGCCCCTCGCACATAACTTAGACCACACTTCTACTTCTACTTCTGCAGCCGCCGCTCGACTAGGTCGCGCACGCCCTGCACCACCTTCGCTACGTCGACGTTCTTCTGCACGTCGATACGCAGGTATTCCATCCCCAGCATGTGCGCCATGTTGTGGAAGTGCCAATTCTGTGATGCGTCGTCAGTCAGGTGACAAGTGTTGCATGGGGCAGAAGGAAGGATTAAGAGAAGCAAACAGTGAACGCGGTCAAATGGAGCGAAAAACGGAAAACCCGGAAAACGCGAGGAGAAAGGGGGGAAGCCAGGTTAAACTCGACGCGGGATGATGAAAGATGATAGGGAAGGAATGGGAGGATGGTAGGGAGCTCAAAAAAGTGGGTAAAATGGGAAAACGGATGGACGGAAGACCAAGGCCGTCAAACGGAAAGACCATCAATCACGGAGAACCGGATGGGCGGCAAACCGAAACCGGGAAAGACGGATGGACGAAAGACGAGAAAAACGGAAAAAAAGGTGAATGGGGGTGGTGAGTAGCACGGGAAAGTAGGTAGACGTGAACGGCAAGGCGGATGCACGGAAGAGGGAGCGGGGGAAAACGGGTATGCGGTAGCGCAGGCCCCGCACCCGCCCCACCCAGAGCTCGCGTCGGCGTACCGCGCCCATGCAGCCGCCAAGAAAGAAATCACCGAGACCCGGAACCCGAAACCAAAAACACTCACCCCCTGCGCCCCCGTCGTCATCAGCTCCACCACGCTCGCCCGTCCCGTCGGCATGAACAGCGTCAGCCCCAACGCGCCCGCGTGCACGCTCACCACCACGTCCGCGCGCCCCACCGCGCCGAGCTGCGCGGGCAGGGCACTCGTCGTCGGGTCGAGCGTCGCGAAGCGCAGCGCGCGCGGGCGGGCGGCGCGGGCGGTGTTGTTTGAGGTGCTCCCGTCGGAAGGAAGAGGTGCGCGCCGCTCGTTCGCGAGGCCCTCGCCCGGCGGGGCGCCAACCGGAGCCGCCCCACCCCCACCTACACCTACAGTGCTCTCCTCTTTTTTGGCGTCTGCGTCCACGTCCGACGGGGGCGGGGCCGTACCGACGCCCAGCCCCAACGCGCGCGCCTCCCTCGGGTGCAGACGCGACCCCCACACGCCGGGCAGCAGGTCCGCGTCGGTGTACGTGCAGTCGTGCGTGCCGGGGGTGTGGGGGGTGGATCCTGTGGAGAAGGGCGTCAGCGTCGGAGTCACCCGTCAGCAGAAGAGCAAGACGATGCCCTCCATCTTCAGCACCAAAGCCAGTCAGGCCGGCCCCAAAAGTCAAAGTCCGTGCAATACGCCGTTTTCGGCATATACAAGAGAGTAGAGTAGAAGACACCCACCAGCAACCGCCGTCGCCACCCGACACAGCCCACCCAGCCCCGCGCGCAGCCCCGCGAGCAGCTCACCCTCGTTCGCAATGTGCCGCGCCTCCTGCCACGCGGTGAGTTTGTGGTTTTTGTGTCTGGAGGCAGAGCGTTAGCGTTAATTCAGCAGAAAGGAGTGAGAGGAGGGAGGAGGGGGGGAGGGGGGAGAAGGAGGGGAAATGGGGAGAGAAGGGAGGGGAAATGAGGAGAGAAGGGAGGAGTAGTAGTACACGTCCTCACGAACAAAGCCCCCACCGCCACCGCTTTTCTGCCCAACACCCTGGGCGCGGCTCTGCGTCCTTGCGAGGCGCCCCCGCGCGCGCCTCGAAAGAAATAAAGAGAAAGAAGGAACCACACCACGCGACTCACCTCGTATACGCATCAAACTTCTCCCGTGACAAAAACAGGACCTGGATCGGGTCCCCTCCCTGCGCCTGTGCGTGTGTCGTCACCGGCGCGCGCTGCTCCACGTCTTCTCTCTCCACCTGACCTTCCGTTCGGTTCGACCGGCGCCTCACCCCCACCTCCTCCCACGCGCGAGACCCGAGTGAAGAACTGGAAGAGCCCGGCAGCCCCTCGAGCCCCCACACCCACCGCAGCCACAGGCTCGTGCCCCATACGAGCTCGCTCGCGCACGTGTGCGGGCGCCCGACGCCCGTGGCGCTGAGGAGCGACGCGCCCGCGCCGACGGAGTGGAACGCGCGGGCGAGGCAGGTGTTGGCTAAAAGAGGGGGAGAGAGTCAGCGCTTGTGTGCGGATATAGAGATGAGAAGAAAGGGAAAGGAAAGGATAAAGATAAAACGGCAGAAAGGAAATAGGCAGGAAGGGAGGAAGAGGGAGGGAGGCGGGGAAAGAAGGGGTCGGGAAGAGAGGAAGGAAGGACGAGAGGGAAGGAGGGAAGGAGTAGAAGGAAGGAGTCGAAAGACGGCCAAAACCGAAGCAACACCGAATGATGGAATAAAGACGAAAGCCACCCACCCAACCCCTCCACCGCCATCCTCCTTGGTGGGAACGCCCCCATTCGATCATACAGCGGCGCAAAGAGCGACTCCGTGGGCAGGTATTCGTCTGTGAACACGAGCTGCAGGCCCGCCGTGTGCGCCACCTCATGCGCGAGCTCCGCCGTCAGCTTGCTGAACTCCGCCTTCGCACTGGACGCAGAGGAGGACAGGGTCTTGGCGTACGCGGCGGGGAGGGCGGTCCAGAGCTGCTGTTCCGCCGCGGAGGATGTGGATGCAGAGGAAGAGGAGGACTGGTGCCGCGAGAAGAGCGTGAGCGCGAGGAAGGTCGTGACGAGGTCCTCGCCGACGTGGAACGGGTTCCAGCGGTCCTGCCGCGGGACAAAGAGCACCGGGTGCGTGAGCGTCTCGGTACACCCCTCGCCCGCGTTTTTGTCCTGCGCAAAAAAAACAAAAAAGGCATATTCATTACCCCAATCTTGGAAAAATCGAGGCACGCAAACCAGGCTCACTTACCTCGACAAACTCCTTGCCCAGGAACCCCTCCCTTCCCATCGCGGCCTTCAACTCGTTCCCCCCACCGCTCACCTCGCACCGCCCAGTGAACTGCCCGTGCACGCTCGCGGGCCCGCCCCACCCGGGCGTGTGTCCAAGGTGCTGCGAGGCGCAGAACGCCTGGGGGTAGGGCCACCAGTGGTTCGGCGAGCTCGGGTCGGAGGCGCCGCCCGCGGGGAAACACGTTATCGACGCCGTCGAGGCGGAAGCGGGCGAGGTGCAGTAGGGCACGGCGCCGGTGATGTACGCATCGACCATGCGCGCGGAGAGCTGCCCGCCGCACGTGTCGAGCTTGCGCGCGCTGATCTCGGCCTGGGCGCGCGCGAGGAAGAGGCGTGCATGGAGGGCGGGGTGGTTGTCGCGGAAGAACGGCGAGCCGGAGCCGACGCCGCCTTGGTCGTCGTTGTTAGTTCCGCCCCACCCAGAGGCATCATTATTGAGGTCTTCGTTATGTGAGTAGCCACCGGGTATAGAGCCCGAGTCTGAAGTAGACCCAGAGCTAGAGCCAGAGCCGGGAAGCGAGAACGAGGAGGGCGCAAAGACGACGTAGACGAGCAGAACTGAGCTGAGAGCAAGGACAGCGACGAAGATGAGGAGGCGCCTTATTCGGGTTGGAGGGGCAGCGGGGGTGAGGCGAGAGAGTAGATCTTTTGCTGACTGGCCGTTGGGGTTGGCAGCAGTGGGCAGCGGGGTGTAGGCTGCAGAGGACATGGTCGGCGGAGTCAATTCTTGTTTTAGGCGCTCATGACAGAAATACGGAGACCACCGTATGCGGTGTCTGGGAACTGTATGCGGTGGCGGTGCATGTCATTGATATCACCCCGAGACCGCAACCAACAGTCCCACGGTTGCAACGAAATAGTAAGCACGAAATAGGGGGAGCCAAGTTAAAACCAAGCAATGCAGACGTGGGCTTTCCACCTTTCCAAAGTGACTTGTCTTCCTCCGTACGCATGAAGTTTTGAACAAGAACTGGCTCAAAAAAGACGTTCGAATTCATGGCTCAGGCCCGATTTGAACGGGTAACTTCATTCCACGGATGATACAGATGCGGACCATCCTGAACCACCACTGCGCGGACAAGAAGGATTGGCACTCCGATATGGTCCAGTCCCGATTCGAACAAGTTTCTTCTGAGATGTGTATTCAATGACACCATCGCAAGCGACGCGAACCACTGAACCTCTCCAGAGTCTTTGTCCCTCCCTAGGCTATGAATTGTGGGCTAGAAACTAGGCAGATGAAAAACCAATGCTCGAAAACCACATGGCCCGGGCCCGATTCGAACAGGCATCTTCTGCTTTCTACATAACTTAGACTATGATCCCGAAAGAAATGCAGATGTGGAAACCTCCCACCACCGAACCATTGTAGGGTCGTTGGTTCCCCTCTACCTATGCAGGTTTAAACAAGAAATTAGCTGAACAAAGAGTCGTAGCTGGCCACGAATTCAATGCATAGCCTAGCCGGGATCAATTTGAACGAGCCGCTTCTGGTTTGCATATCCCATGGACAATAAGTCCAATCTAATACAGATGTGGACCCGCTACCATCGAGCCGTCGTACAGTTGGTTGTGGGCCTCTTTATCCATACTATTTCTTTGAACACAAACCACCAGGCAAAAGAAATTCTTTGTGATTCCCCTCACCTGATTCGAACAGGCATCTTCTGCTTTCTATCTCGCAATCCGCCAAGAAATGCAGATGTGGACCATCCACTACTGGCCTTTCGAGAGATATTTGGTTTTCCCATTATCCATGCAAGTTTTGAACAAAAAATTAGCTGACCACAAAGACACATGGCCATTTTTGGGTGTCGGAACTCGACAACGGTGAATGGAAAATTAAACAAATACTCAGTCAGCTCAACCATGTCGCCCACCGACTGTGCTTCCCCTCAAGCGTCAGCGCAATCTCCCGGGCAACAATGCGATCCGCCTGTTCGCTCGGATGCAGCTCATCGGCCCTGGAATGTAAATGAGCATCATTTAACTGCAGGTCGCGGAAAACCAGAATAGAATAGATATGCACGCACCATAAGAAGCTATCACGATCTGTGCCATTTGCGACGGTACAGTCAAGGGTTGTACCTCCAATGGTCGTGACGCATGCGTTCCAAGTTCCTGGAATTCAGGAAAGAATTGCTTATCAAAATGAAGATCGCTATGACGTTTTGCACACACCTGTGACGTTGAGCGGCGCGGTCCCGTTGAGGTACAGGGCAGGATGGTCGAACATATCTTGGAAGAGGGAATGGGAGTCAAACAGCGCTGCGAACACAACTCAGTTTAATTGCTTCAGAACAAAAATTAGTTCAATGCCAACCGATATGCGCTCCGGGAAGGGTAGGCGCGAGTGCTTGCAGCATGAGCTGCGTCAGCTTGTTCCCCGAGCGAGTCATTTCCGTCATGATGATGCTCCACTCAGTTGTATTCCGCTCGAATGCCCAATACTTGTTCGGGTACGAGTCGGCAGCGTACAGGATAGTTAACTCGAGTGGGATCATCTGCGAGCCCCGGGGATAATCAGCCACGGCCAAATGTTGGCAACAGGAGGATGAACGCACATTCTGGAAAATGAAATTCCGCGCTCCACTCTCGTAGAGAACTTTCACCCAATTGACCATGCATTCTGTGACGTCGACGAGCGATACACCCGGATCGCTTCCCGTCAGTAGCGTGGATACACCGAGATCGTTCGTCCCGATCCAAAGCGTGTAGATCGTCTCGTCTGGTGGCAGTCGGAGCGAGCCATTGGCCTTTTCGGTCAGGTACAGGGGGATTTGGCTTTCAAAGAGCGGGGGGAATGGCCGGAAAGTAAGGTTGTTGGAGCAGGTTGCACCCGCGCGCGCAAAGGGGTGGAGTGCGACGTGGGCGTAGCCCGCGGCGTAGACTTGACGTTTTTTCAGTTGCCTTCGAACGCTTTCCAGACTAGACGACAATCGACTCACCAGGCCAGGCGGTGGCTGCATCGCCTGGAGAGCCCTCAATACTAGACAGGTAACAATTCGAGTGAACCCACCAGTTAACACGACATCAGTATAGCTGTCGCCGAAAGTGACCAGGTGTTTTATCTGTCCGGGACGAACACCAGCGCCGTATACACTACAGGCGGTGAGAACACTTGCATAGAGGAGCGAAGCTAGAACCATTTTATCGTTCCAAGATTAAAGCGTACTTGCAGCTTTAATACTCAGGGCAGTGCCTGTGGAGGCCGCCCGACCAATGTCCGTCTGTCGGCCGCGCGCGGATGCAATTGGGGTAAGTTGGAACGTCCGACATTCCCCCGCACGCGCGGTGCTATTAGAAGACCCAGTCTTGTGGTCCCAGATGTCAAGGGTAGAAGGGAAGAATCGGAGCACGGGCCGACATCCGAATCGTCATCAACCGGAACTTACCGGCACGCTGTTTCAACTTCAAAGAGTTGAACAACGCGCAAACAAGCTTGTACTAAGCCAGAACGAAGTAAATAATTTCGTATTTCTTAATGCTAGTTATCAAAGCACGGCGACACGGTCCAAATCAACGGTATCGCCAAATTACAAGAAAGGAAAAAACTGGTTGAGAAAAAAAAAACCGAGTATATCAAACAATCGAGGTAGATTGGCTTTGTTTGGAGCTTCTGTTGATAAGTCAGGGATTTTTACCGAACAGTTGAATTATCAACCCACTCCTTGTTCGCACACAACCATGACAGACGCCTCTTAGATGTCCTTCGGCACTTCTGTGTCGCGCGAGTCACGGTGGGTCTCTGCCTCATGATTTGTCGCTTTGGGGGTTTGTATGTGGATGTCAGAGCGCGGCTCAACCTATTTCCGCTTCAAAATTGGAGTCAAACCAATTCAGAAAGCTCACCGCTGGGGTTAAAGATGGCAAGGTCACTGTTACCTGGTCCATCGCACGGAGGGTCGCCCTGGAGTTCAGACTAGATTCCCGCATCACCGCATAGTTTGATTAAAGCGCAACCGAACTTGCCTAGCCAATAGAGAGTTCGAAAATACTGTATTCGGTTAGAACATCAATCGGGTGACAGTAGACGCACTCACGTCGCGCGACAATAACCAAAATCGCCAGCCAGATAACTATAAACTCCTTTCAGTGTGAATTATGGTATGGTTCCGAAATTCATACAATTTTGGTTCATTGTGACAAACTGAAAGAACAGAACTCAGTTTTGGGCAAGCGAGTGACTGCACGCTCTCAATGGAACATACACAGGCTAATACGAGAGTGCTCGAGATGCTGAAGATATGAAACTAAACACAGTTGAGGAAAAGGAAGTGAGGGAAAACCAACCTGGTTATTAACCCCGTCTCTGCAACATGATTCGTCAGAAAAAATAACATGTCCTGAACAATTCATGGGCAAACCTATAGTCCATGTAATAATTTTGTCCACAAGCGCCGTTGTCCTGTCCGACATCAATGCTTGGGTATTAGGCACTCCAGGTACAATACCTCTTGCATACACCAAGGCGCTGTTTGCGGAGGAAGGCCACAAGGATTGCCGTGATTGTTAAATCTGACGCGCTGCTGATGCTCCATGACACAGTAAAAATCCACCCCCACTGCCTCTCAAAGGACTTCAACAGAGTCATTCTCATTCCTATGGCAACTATTGCAATGGTACCCAGCAGGCGCACGAAGATCACGGCCGAGACTATGAGAGCGACGTAGAGTCTTTTTGAAAGCGCGTAAACTCGGATTGTGAAGAACCCTTGTACTAGGACATGTCAGGGGCTGACATCGAGTTGGATCGATATATGTACATACCCAATGTTGCGATGACGGCAGTCAAGAAGGCGGCAGCCAGGAGGGGTTTGGGCAAAGCACCAGCGATGCGCTCTGGGTGTCCGTAGTTGGATATCGTGTAGGTGTATATGGCGTGTCCAATGCATATCGCATGCGCAAACTCACAGACCCTTTTTATAAATGAATAAACTCAGGCATGAGGAAGTGGTCAGGTCTGGGGAAGCGCACCAGATAAAACCAACCCAAGCACGGTGATCAATCATATGTAGTCTGCCCGGCTTGTCTTGCACGCACCAAAACCTTGATTTTTTGGGAGTCCTCTGGGAAGCGGCTGTAGTAGATGTACGTTTGGGTTGTCGTGACCCCGAAGAGGACATGAGAAACGAAGACGCCGATCTGCAAGGCACCCAGAGAGGCGGCGAGATCCGATGGTACAACAGAATCCATGAGGTGAGCTTCTTTCATGAAGAGACGAGGAGAGAGCTTATATGCAAATCGAAAAACATGAATATTCTAGCCACGGGAGAAGATCTGTTAATCTCCAAGATGATCACGGAAACAACTGAGAGAACGATGGGGCCTCCTAAAAAATTCCCTACGGCTGCAGACCTAAGAAAGCGCGCCGCGAATGATTCCACCTGGAAAACAATGTATTACCTCGAGACAGCAATGTGGCATTCTGTGCACACCTAGAGGGGTTCTGTGCACACCTAGAGGGGTTCTGTGCACACCTAGAGGGGCGTCGAGATCGGTATAATATAATCCATATGAGGTGAGTTTCTTGTAGAGTGGAAGAGGAGGGAGGCATATACGGCTCAGGCTCGGGGACCATAAATATAGGTATTCTCAAGCGACAGAAGATAATCTGCTGATGTCGCCTTTGACGAATATTGTTGTACTCGGACTATATTGGTATCGCCAGTCTCTTGCAGACAGATGTTTCAATGGATTACTGATCTCATACCTCGATGCATCGAATCTGAAGTCTTGAGGGATATCATTTGTAGTCTCTTGCACTGACTTATCCCACTCGAGTGACAGTCTACACTCGCCACTTCGTTCTGAAGATCATTCGAATTTCGTACAATCGGCCTGCACGATTGACTCAAAGCGTGGGGCGGTCTCAGCCGGTCCTTAAATGGAAACGAGGCTCAATTAATGTCATCGCCGGCCTCGACAAGGCTGCGAACTGCTGCAGCCAAAGGAATGGCGTAGAAAGAGTGCGACACTGCCACCGTCAGCCCTAACATGCGCATCAGTGATCCTTGAGCGATCCCCCGGGGCCTTCTGCATCGTTGTTGCGCAAGCAGCATCTCAGCCGTGAGCTATAGGAAGTACAGTAGGCGGCATCTCAGATGATGGAGATGTCGAATAGTATGCAATGTGTCATTATTCTGACCTTGAAGAAAGCTCGGTTAACCACCGCATGTCACGAAAAAGTAAATGTCCTTGGCCTCCCCCACTACGAGTTGCGTCCAAACTGCCATTAAACACCTTCCATTTCGGGAATAGCACAGCAATCCTGCCGACGGCTCGCAGGGCGGAGTTTCAAACTACAGGCAAAAACCAAGTCAAGCGAGAACATGAGCTTTATGACATATCTACAGACATACATAG